GCTACCCCATATAGTTTGATTCCATACCCATCTCGCCTTCCCTGTCCCTCTTCATGGACTTGATTCACAAGAGCTTATTGAAAACAGAAGTGGCTTCTTTGCTTTAGCTTGGAGCTCCAGAGAAGATTCCTCAAGCATACAGGGGAAGTACAGTTAGTATTTTCTTATTCCAAAGAAAAAAGACATCCTTGTCGTATTCTAGACCTGAGGGACTCAGCAAATATATATGCTGTCTCAGGTTCAGGATAGTAACACTTGCCTCCATCATTTCCATCACTCCAACCTCAAGATTAGTTCACATTTTTTGACTTTCAGGTTGCATACTTCCACATGGTCATCCATCTGACACACAGGAAGTACCTCAGATGCACAGTGGGACCAACCATTACCAATACAGGGCTCTGCATTTCACACTCTCTCCAGCACTGAAAGTGTTCACTAAGTGTCTGTCCATAGTAGGACTCATCTAAGGAAACAGGGAATTCATGTCTACTCATATGTAAGTGAAGGAACAATAATCCACACCGTGTAGAGTCAAGCACAGGAGTTTATTACGCACAGCGCTGGCTGAGTGTCACTTTGCTTATTAGGCTCAGAGACACTGCAAAACAATTAGTTACAATAGATTACATATGGTGCTCATTGGGCGGAGAGATGCGACAGGGATGGGTTTTCCCAAACCCCTGGATAGGATCTAACAGCAAGACAAGATAAGCACAATAAGCCAATGGTCTAAAATATTACATAATGGTTCTGCCCATGGCCCAAATTAACATCTTGCTGACACACAGGTAATTACCCCCAAACTATGTCTATTAAAGTGTATAGGTTAAATCCTAATTTTGGGGTCCAGGGGAATGAGGTAGAAGCTCTCTCAGTTGACCAACAGGTACATTCCTAGAGATTTAAAGCAAAAAAGCAGTAATTAGTACTTAACAATTTCACAAGTTTACCCTGGCATTTCTGTGGGCTAGGACTGGCATACATCTGTGAGGGGAAGGTGTCATAATTCATGTCAATTATATTAGGCCTCTCCCCAAACTTGGTCTAGGATCTGAGGGGTATTGTACCACTATCTCCTCCCTGCATTAGGGAGTAACCGTGAGGCCTTTCTCAGCGCTTCATGTGTCTATAACTCACGATAAGGACGCCCAATTACATTCGGAGTTATGCTGACTCCACTCACTGACTTGAAACACACAAGGTTATCTGTTCACACCAGCTTCCTCTGAGCTATGTATTGTTCTCTATTAGCCAGCCCCCATAGCCCAAGCCAAGCTCTAGACTCCGGGCCTATATTGAAAAGTTCTTAGCAGAAACTGCAGTTAAGATCTTACATCCATAGCTAATGGATTCTGACCCTTCATAAGTGACTGGCATGTCCCAAATGGAGGCTGAAACAGCTCTGGATCACTTCCTTTCCCTGTTCTCCCACTTAGAACTCCTAGTGAATGGGGGAGAGAGATCTCAATATTGTTGCAAAAATAATATTAATAAATACAACTTTTAAAAAACTAATTACAAACTTGTGTGCACCTTTACTAAATATTAAGAGATAGCTACAAGAATATTATAGTCAAGATGCTTGGAAATATAACAATACACATGCTTAGCTAATTACTGTATGTTACAAAATGTTAAAGCTAGTCAAAGTCATTCCAGAAGGTTTCTGCTTCTAGCTCCCAAGGTCAAGCAAACATCAATCTGTGTGAACACTTTTAGGAAGAAACCTGAGTGTGAAAGGAATGTAAGTTTGTGTTATCAGAGCAATAAATCTACAGGTAAAGTGTGCCCACGCTAAATCCCCCTCCCCCCTCCCCGCTTTTTTTTCCAAAGAAAAATCTTAGTTTAAACCCACTCAAAGAATTCTAGAAATAGCCTTAGTGATATTAATTTCTTTTGTAAACACACTACAGTTTTCATTCTTTAAACTTGGAGAACACTTCTGGTGGGCAATTTTTACAGAAACTACTGGCTACTTCCACCTTGTGTTCACTTAGAGGTGAAAACCTTTGTTGTTTCTCAAATGCTTAGATGGCATAAGCTTCTACTAATATGTATATTTGTAAATATTTTGTATTTAAATGCAAACTTTCATATAATAACATATATAAATCATAAGATGTTTTATGTACAAACTAAAGCAAGGTCATTTGATGCTAGATTAATTACTAATGTAAGAAGCCATTTAAGCATAGAATACGGTAATGGTTAATTAACAGCTTAGGCTAAAGACTTTCTTAGAGTTATTTAAATTTAAAATACTGTTTTGAGAACTAAAAGCTTTTAAATAAAGAAAAGAAATTAATGGACTTTTTAAAAACAATTTCATTTCCTGTCAAACGCTAATAAAAATAAAATCTCACAAAATGAACTGAATAAAAAAAGAGTTAAAATTAACTTTAAAAGTTATCTTAAAAGTTATCTGAATATTCACATATTTATGTACACCCACAGAGAGAGCTATTAAAGAAATGTTGCATATTAGAAAGACTGCATATTTAGGAGATGAAAGTATCACCTAAGCCAACCCCTAAGGCATGGAGCCAATAAAAGAATAACAGCAACCAACTTAAATCTGAACAAGCATTAAAGAGGTGTGTTTTCATATAATTTAATAAAAATAATGGTAAGGGTACACAAAATTCTAAAGTGAGCACCCCACACCCCTGGCTACTCAGCTTCAAAAGCAAGCACTCCTCAGTTCAGCCTTTCCACCTCTAAAAGGAAGCTGCCACAGGCAGATAAGAAAAACATAGAAGAATCAAGAAGAAACCAACCCAAGGAAACTTCCCCAAGACTTCAACACTGATTGGTAAGAAAAAGTTAACTAAAACACTGTCAGGGTTAGATATAAAAGTCTCATAATGATTTTGTTGGAATACTGAAATAAATTAAGACTAACAGTTTCTCCTGTTAATCACCAACTGGTTAAAATGTATTTCTGGAAAGGAGAGGAGGACTAAACACTGGTAAACAAAAAAAAGTAGGATTTAATTAAATTTAAAATGTTTAATATTGGTTAATTGGCCTGTCTCAATACAACTCCTTAAATGGCTTCTTCTAAGTAACCGATTTAAATGTTTTCTTCTGTTTCATAGAATGTAGTTAAGATTGTTGACTTTGCCAACTATAAACTGGCAGGTTCATCTACCCTAAAATCTCTGGAGTGCTATCTCTGTTAAAAGCTCTACACAAAGAGACAGAGAGAAAAATTGTAATGGAAGTAACCAGTTTATCATTTGTGTTTATTGTTTTCTTATTCTTTTCTTTAATTATAAAATAGCCATGGTTAATAGTTGTGATTATTTTTCTTGGTCTTAATCATGGTGTCCCATAAAGTATGTAAAAGAACCTCTGTGACTCAATGGTGAGAACCACACCCCTGAGTTTGTAGTAAGACAAAGAATTAGTCAGAGCTGGCCTGCCATTTCTTGTTTCTCTAAACTAAATATTTTTAGTAATTTTTAAAAGAAAAGTAGTAGATGTCCAATTCCTTTCCATCTCACATGAACGATGAGAATTTGTCTGTTATATGAATGCAGATGATAGAGTGCATAGGACTTATCCTCAATTCTAGTTTGGCAAAAGCTTTCATGCCAGAGGACAGGTTTGTGTACATATCTGGCTCTCTTTGGCTACATGTCTACATGGGTGTATGTGATACTACTGCCAGATTTTGCTAGTGACCTATGCATCACTGGCAGAGAACAGTCTAATTCTCATGTTGCCACCTTATAACCAAATGAGTCTCAGTCCCACTATGCATCCTAAAGAACTGGAGTAGTGGATAGACCTGCTGAACGTAAGAAAATTGATACTCTTCTTGGTCCTCCCCCAATTACACCGGGCACAGACACATCAGGAACAGGCTGGGGTGCCCCATTTGAATCACTTGTAAATCCAAGGTTCTTGGTCTCAGGACAATCTAAAATGTCATATGAACATCTTGGAACTGAAAGCCATTGCATTGTGTTCCTTCCTTCCTCCAAGCCACCCATACTGCAGACCTTTGTTGCCAGCACAGAGTGCCCGAGGACAGCAACAGTGGGGTTCGTTGCCTGGTGTGCTTCGCGCCAATGAACATACCAGGGTGGAGAAGCAAACAAAGTTTGAGATCTCAAAGTGGTGCAAGGAGACAGGCACGTCTCAAATCAAGCACACCAACATAAGAAGCCTTTATCTTTTATACAGTTTGCAGCAAGCCTTTCCCTTCTTCCCCTGTCCTTTCTCACCCCCCCTCCTCCATTCCCACCTCTCCCCCTTTCTCCCTCTGGTTACATTACACGACCTTGGCTGTGCAGCTTGTTCTCAGTGTTTCTTTCTGCAAGTAATCTTGTCCTTTAGCTAGAAGCATATACGTTTCACTTATCACTACTGCTTCCCAGCTGCTGGCCTGTGAGGTTAGTAAAGTTTAACATGCAGGGGCTTTGATTCACTTTGGCCTAGAGCTGGGGGGCTTCATCGAATCTCGGGTCTTCCAACCCCCCGAGTTACCTAGGGTGATGCCTAGTGACACCAACACCTTGATCACAGCACCTCAGCAATACACTATAGTGCAAACCTGAATTAATAAATAATATATATATATACTGCAATACTTCAAGGGAAATGGGTGAAATTCTCAACCCCCACATTTTCTCAGTAAATGGGCTTTATATGGGGCCAGTAGGAACACTATTCTCCTCATTAATAGTGGCAGGGCACAGACCATCCAGGCATCTTGTCCAAAGGCATCACTATTGTTGTGGTCTTGCTGAACATTACCTCTCAGCATTAAACATAGGAGTTTATAAGCTATACTACTTAAAGACAATTGACAAATACCCCTAGTTCAGAAATGTGGCAATGTTTTGTTTCTGTTCTCTTTATGTTGGCAACCAAAGCAGCCATATTAAGAATCATTTGAATTAAACATTTATTTTTGGCACGTTTGAGGGCTACATTGGTAGTGGCCAGCATTAGTGTGTTGACATTTGGTTATTTCCTTGACTGGGCGGGAAGAGCAGAAGCAGCTGGAGCCTATTAGTTTCCCAGGAGCCAACCTGGTGCATATAAAAAGAAAAGGAATAATAAATCACTGGCTGACTGATGGAAAGACCAATAGCTATATTGAGAGAAACAGTCCACATGCAAAGGACAACAACTATTCTCTTGCTTGTTTAAAACTTAAGGAAAGGGATGGGGACTTTTGTTTGTTTACCTTGAACCTGAAGGCAAAGGAAATCAGAGATTTATTTTGTTTAACCCCAAAACCATGGATTTAGGATACCAGAAGAGCAAGATGTAAAATAGTGAATCCTTATGCAAAACTTGGAAGAAATGTGATAATTTACATGGCAACTTGTGAAAAGTACAGATGATTTTTTTCCCTGATAGGATCATGCCTTGGGCACCACGTATATGCAGAGCATCAAGTGAGTATCTGAGAGATCCACTGTGCTGTCATAAAGGCTCCCTGCCTGGATATGGTGATGTTCCTGTGGGGGAGGGGGGACATGGTGTGCTCATTTGTGATCTGAGAATCCAGCTGGATTAGTCTTTTGAAGTAACTGGAGCTTAGGACTCGGGAACTCACCCTAGGACACGATGCCCATCAAACCAATTGGATGGATATGTGGGCAGGTGATCAAAAGATTTTCTGGACAAGGTACGTAATCCTGGTTGTGATCCATTTAAACCCCCAAACCTTCCTTGTCCTACCTATTTGTACATGTTACCACCACTTTGTTTAATTGATTAGGAGGTTTTGAATTGAATCTTTAATTGTTTCTTTTTTACCTCAGTTTACCTAATCCAGAGAGCAGTTGTGGAAATTATAGATGAGATTAAGGATGAATTTCCAACCATAATTGGATTGCAACAATCAAACCAGGTAAAGGTACTGAACTACTGTATTTGATTGCCATTAAAGTTCTGATAAAGGTATTTCCCCCTTCTTGTTTAAAATATTATGAATGTGTTTTATCTACCATTATTTAATAAGACATGTTCTGCTGACATTGATATTTAGTCATTAAATAGTTATTGGAGCAGGGACTGGAACCTGGGTCTGCCAGATGGGTGCTCTAATCTCTGGGCTGTAGAGTCATGTCTCATTCTTTCTCTGGTGGGGCTTCTCCACTTCCATTTTGTGCTGGGCCCAATCTGGAAACTGGCCTCTGAATTGGACATTGTAGGTGAGATAGGCAGGGGAATGGCCTGAGCTGTTTTATGGCATCAGGATTTAGATGGCTCCATGCATACCCACTGGCAGAAATTTAGGGGAATTTATCAGCAGAAATGTAGGTGCCGAAGTAATTTGTGGGCAACTGAGTGGAAGTTTTGAGAATCTTAATTTGAAAATCTTAAACTGCCTCAAGTGGCAGTTAGATGCCCAAAATCTTTGTGGATGCAGCCTGCAGTCCTCCATTCCTCATCCATAAAATGGTGATAAAATTTCCCTATTTCACAGAGATGTTGTGAAGGTAAAATCCATTAAGGCTTGTAAGGTGCTCAGATTCTATTGTGATAGATCCTCAATTCCTTCTACACTTTCAGTTCCACCGATACTGGCAAATCAGACCTTGAAGCAGGACATCAATTCCAATCCTTCTCGTAGAAATAAAATTAGGAGAAGAAGGCCTGTAAGAAGTTATTGCCTGAAACACCCAACATCTGCTTCCTCTGTTCCTGCTCTCAGGCTGCAGAGCATCTCTTGCAGAAATGCTGTGACTAGGTAGACTTCTAACATTACAAATTCATTCTCTTCTCCTTCAGTTCTGCCATCTTCCTAGCTAAACAACTCCACTTAGACAATTTAATTGAATCTCACATCCACAATCCCAACCACCTCTGATCACTCCTCAAACCCTCTCCTCCTCCTACCTGCACTTCTCTGTGCACAAGTTCTTGCCAATTTCTTCCATGAGAAAATTGACAAAATACAATATGACCTTTCACCTTTTTCTACAACTCTCTCTTCTTCCTCCCTGTCACAGACACAGAAGTTTCTCATCTGTTCTCCTCTAAGCCTTCCTCTTGCCCCAGTGATCCAATCCCAGCCCGTTTGATTTCCCTCATGCCCACTCTCATTCCTTCCCTTACTCTTCTTGACCTCTTGTGCGCCTCTGGCTCAGTTGACTGGATGAGGGCAGTCTAGCCTAGTGGTCAGAGCAGGCATCAGGAACCAAGGACTAGGATCAGAGTCAGTAGTGGGAAGCCAGGGCCAAGGATCAAGCCAAGGTCAGGAACTGAAGCAAGCAGGGTAACCGGCAAGGAGGGGTTGAAGGCAGAGGCAGGCCAGAAACAAGGCTTGGTGTGAGGCAGGAATAAGGTAACAGGAGCAATCACAGTGGTGGGCATGAACATTGAGCCAATGTCCCAAAAGCCAGCCTGTTGCCCCCTCCAGCCAATCAGGTGGTGTAGCTGATCAGACAGCTGTTGCAGGCCAAGTGTATTGAGGAAGCTGCCTGGAGACTAGCTCTGCAGCAGATCCTGATTCCTGACACTCTTTCCCCTCACAACACAAGCAAGCTTTAGTCTCAATCCACCCATGATCCAGCTTGCCTCTCCAGTTAGTGCTGCATCCTCCCTTCTCCCTTTCGCCTTTAAGCTCATTAGACAGCAAATGTAAACGGCATGTTCAGAGTCCTCTCCTCCAGTTCCATCCTAGACCATGTCCAACCAGCTTCTATCCTTTGCACTTAACTGAAAATTGCTAATGCTCTTGAAATCTTGTCCTTCCTTGCCTTCTGTGACTCTGTCCTTTCCTGATTCTCCTCCTACCTCTCTAACCGTTTTTCAGTGTGTCCTTTGGAAGATCCTCCTCATTCCCTCTCCAACTTTTTCTCCCCCCTCATCCCTTTCTTTTCTCCCTCCACACATATCTCTGAAATCTCATCCATAAATACAAATTCAGTTACCATCCCTATGCTGATGACTCACAGATCTACCTCTCTACTCCAGGCCGGTCCCATTCTGTCTAAACTAAAACCATGGTCTGCCTCTATGATATTGCTTCATGGATTCTAGCCAATCAGCTCCAGATCAGCATGGCTGAAACAGAGTTCTTAATTTTTTCCACTATAGTCATCTTAAATTCAGACCTGTCTTTTCGTCTTCACATCCAGGCTATATCTAAATCTTGCTGTTTCTTTCCACATAACAACTCTTAAGATTTCCTGTCCATTTACACAGCTATAACTCTTGTCCAAGGTCTCATCTCACATCTCTATTACTGCAACATCCTTCTCACTTGCCTCAACGAAGTAAATTTCTCCCTGCTCGTATCTATGCAGAATGCTGATGCAAAGATCAATTTCCTTGCACATTGCTTTGACCACATCACCTTGCTCTTTGAATCCCTCCACTAGCTCCGTCTTCTCTATTGCATCAAACATAAACTACTTATTTTCACTTTCAAGGCCTTTTACAACCTATCCCCACCCATCCTACCTATCATCCATTCACTATTAAAATGTCAGCTCCCACTTCTGATCAGGTCATGAGGCCAGCTTCCATCACCAACTCATTAATCAAATAAGCACCTTTGTGCTTTCTCCCAAGCTGCCCCTCACACTTGGGAGATGCTCCCCATAAATATCCACAGAGCTAACTCATTATCCTCCTTAAAATTCTCCTTTTCCATTATGCCTATAAAAAACTTGACCACAGTTAGGCTGCTGGCATGCAGAGACCACTGACAATCATGCTGACCAGTATCATCTCATTGTTTCCTTGCACTTCCCCATCTAACTCTGTCTGTGTCCATCTGCTGTCTCTTGTCTTATACTTGGATTGTAAGCTCTTTGTGACAGAGTCTGTCTTTTTGGTCTGTGTTTGTGCAGCACCTAGCACAATGGGGTTCTGGTCCATGACTGGGGCTCCTAGGTTCTACAATAATACAAATAATACAAAATAATAATAGGAATAATACAGCAATGTCTATTGAATGTGTTATAATTTGTATTGCAGTAGTACCCAAAGGCCTCAATCAGGATTGGGATCCTGCTGTACTGAATGGTGACCCAAAGAGCTTAAAATATGATAGGCAACAAATGCCTTTTTCCATTGCCATTTAGGACTTGATCCTGCTCCTGCTGATGTCAGTGGGTGTTTTGCTATTTTAATAGGCTTTGGATCAGCCTTAAATGAACAAGTAAATATTTATTTCACCTCTTATTGAGATTGGCATCAATAATCCCCACTTTCTATTAGGGGACTAATATGACTGAAAGAGCAGTTACAAATGCCCCCACCCACCTAATTATATTACTGTAAAGCTCCCATTTGGGGAGTTTTGCTTGAGTAAAGATTGCCATTGATTCAGGTGGGAACAGCACTACTAAACCTGCTTGTGGACAGTGACAAAATGTAATTTACATTTCTTCCTTGACAACATGAGCTAGAGTGTGTGTGTGGATGCATATACCATATATAATAGATATGGTGACATTATAGTCATTAGGTTCTAAGGGCATTGTGATACATATAAGGGCATAAGAACAGCCATATTGGGTCAGACTAATGGTCCAATTAGCCTAGTGTCCTGTCTTCTGACCGTTGCCACAGCCAGATGCTTCAAAGGGAATGAACATCACAGGGCAATTTATCGAGTGATCCATCCCATGTGGTCCAGTCCCAGCTTCTGGCAGTTGGAGGTTTAGGGACACCCGAAGCATGGGATTGAGTCCCTGACCATCCTGGCTAACAGCTATTGATAGATCTGTCCTCCATGAACATATCTAGTTCTTTTTTGAACCCTGTTATACTTTTGGACTTCACAACATCCCATGGCAATGAGTTCCTCAGGTTGATTATGTGTTGTTTGAAGAAGTACTTCCTTTTGTTTGTTTTAAAATTGCTGCCTATTAATTTCATTGGGTGACCCCTAGTTTTTGTGTTTTGAAGAGCTAAATAATACTTCCCTATTCCCTTTCTCCACACCATTCATGATTTTATAGACATCTATCATCTCTTTTCGTTGTCTCTTTTCTAAAATGAACAGTCCCAGTCTTTTTAATCTCATCTTGTATGGAAGTTGTTCCATACCCCCAGTGTTCTAATTTATCTTTTTTTGAGATGAGCAACCAGAACTGAACAAAGTATTCAAGCTGTGGGTATACACCATGGATTTACATAGTGGTATGATGATTGATATATATATATATTCCTTTCCTAATATTCTGTTAGCTTTTTTGACTGTCACTGTACAGTGAGTGGATGTTTTCAGAGAGCTATCCACAATGATCTCTTTCTTGAGGGGTAACAGCTAATTTATACCCCATTATTTTGTAAGTATAGTTGGGATTATGTTTTGCAATGTGCATTAATTTGCACTTATCAATATTGAATTTCATCTGCCATTTTCTAACCCTGTCATCCAGATTAGTGAGATCCTTTTGTAATTCTCTGCAGTCAGTTTTGAACTATCTTGAGTAATTTTGCATCATTTGCCACCTCCCTGTTCACCCTTTTTTCCAAATCACTTATGAATATGTTGAACAGCACAGATACCAGTACAGATCATTGCGGGACACCACTATTAACCTCTCTCCATTGTGAAAACTGGCCATTTATTCCTACCATTTGTTTCCTATCTTTCAACCAGTTACTGATCTATGAGAGGACCTTCCCTCTTATCCTATGACTGCTTAGTTTGCTCAAAAGCCTTTGGTGAGGGACCTTGTCGAAGTCCAAGTACACTATATTGAGTGGATCATGCTTGTCCACATGCTTGTTGACCCTATCAGATAATTCTAATATACTGCTGAGGCATGATTTCCCTTTAAAAAAGCTTTGTTGACTCTTCCTCAACATATCATATTTATCTATGTGGCTGATAATTTTGTTCTTTACTACAGTTTCAATCAATTTTCCTGGTACTGAAGTTAGGCTTACTGGCCTGTAACTGCCAGGTTTGCACTTGGAGCCTTTTTTAAAAATATAAGTTACATTAGCTACCCTCCAGTTATCTTGTACAGAAGCTGATTTAAGTGACAGGTTACATACCTTAGTTAATTCTGTAATTTCATACTTGAGTTCCTTCAGAACTCTTGGGTGAATACCATCTCGTCCTAGTGACTTATTACTGTTTAATTTATCAATTTGTTCCAAAACCTCCTCTATTGAGACTTCAATCTGGGACAGTTCCTCAGATTTGTCACATAAGAAGATCAGCAAAGGTGTAGGGATCTCCCCCATAGCCTCTGCAGTGAAGACTGATACAAAGAATTCATTTAGCTTCTCTGCAACAGCCCCATCTTCCTTAAGTGCTCTTAAGGAAGCATCCAGTGGCCCCACTGACTGTTTGGCGGGCTTCCTGCTTCTGATATACTTTAAAAAATTGCAATTAGTTTTTTTGACCTTAGCTAGTTGTTCTTCAAAAAATTTTCTTACCCTGCCTTATTATATATATATTTTACACTTGTCAGAGTTTAAGCTTCTTTCTATTTTCCTCACTAGGATTTTACTTCCAATTTTTAAAGGATTTTTTTTTTGCCTCTAACAGCCTCTTTTACTCTGCTGTTTAGCCACGGTAGTGTGGTCCTCTTACAGTTTTTTAAATTATTATTTAGGGCATAAGTTTCATTTGAGCCTCTATTATGGTGTTTTTAAACAGTCTCCATGCAGTTTGCAGGCATTTCACTCTTGTGACTGTTCCTTTTAATTTCCATTTAACTAGGCTCCTCACTTTTGTGTAGTTCCCCTTTTTGAAATAAAATGCTACTGTGGTAGGTTTCTTTGCATTTCCCCCCCTACAATGATGTTAAATTTAATTACATTATGGTTGCTATTACTGAGTGGTTCAGCTATTATATTCACCTCTTGGACCAGATCCTGTGTTCCATTTCAATGCGTATTCCTTCCTAAATGTTTTGAGAACCTTATGTGGTTTTATTTTTTATTTTTATCACATAGCCAATGGTACAAATCATTTAAGGCAGATCCTCATCTGGTGTAAATTGTCATAGCTCCATTTATTTCAGTGGAACTATGGCAAGAATCTACCTCGCATTTTTTTTTCAAGCAACATTGCATAGGGTTTAGTTACAGGACTCCCATTGATTTTTAATTGAAATTGCACCTCTGACCAATATCAGATGAAATACAGGTCACTACAGAGCATACAGAAACACATCTTTGTATCTTACACATGCAAGGAACTATTTCTCTCATTTAGTGCCGTCACTGAAATTCATCACCCTCACTAAATCCAAGTGGTTAGAATTGTGGAGGGAAGACTGCTATGGAGTACTCATACTTGGATCTTTCTCACACGGTCACCCTGTGGCCAGGCTATTATTCCAGTGTATGGACAGGAAAAATGACTGATGCTACATTTTATCTAGCTACTTGGATCATTGTATCCCTCTAATTACAGATCATGAGGTCCATTATAGAGCCGATACAGAGCTTCCCTCCACAATCTCTCTGACCACAGTACAATCACCATGGGGCTTAAGTGGTGCAAAAGGCCTTGTCCCCCCCCCCACCCCAGCATTAGGGTAAATTTCACACTAATCAATTGATTAGGTTTTCTTTAACATTTGTTTGAATCCCATTGGGCTGTAGGATGCAAGGTAAGGTTTCTAAGTGATAACTACCAGAAAAGCACGGAAAAAAGATTTTGTCAGGCTTCATGTTTTATGTTACTTGTAATATGGTAATGCTCAAAGGCTCCTATCAGTACTGGGCCCCCTTGATTTTAAATCAATATTTGAGGACTTCAGTAACTCAGCCAGAGGTTATGGGCCTATTACAGAAGTGGGTGGATGAGCTTATGTGGCCTGAAAAGTGCAGGAAGTCCAACTAAAAGGGATGATCCCTTCTGGTCTTAAAGTCTGTGAATCTATGATAAGTGCTGCATAAATACAGATGGCTCTTCCCTGAAGAGCTTACAATCTAAAAAGTCACTTACAGGCTAGCATATAAGCAAAGTATTATCAATGTGATAATAGGAGCCTCTTGCTAGTTTTTTAATATATGTCAGCTGTATATGCTGACAGCCCCTCAACCTGCAATGTGTACTATTAGCTTGCCAGTTTTTAGTGTGTGTCTTGGAAGAAGTGGGTGAAGAGGAGGAAAAGGAGGGATTTGAAGGGGAGAGTAGTGCCTTTCTTTGTCAGCTCAGGAATGACATTCCAGGCATAAGTGGCATCATGGAAGAAAGAGATGTTTGTGGGAGAAGTGGGCTCAGTCAAGGCTGGCATTGTCAGAGCAGAGGAGCAAGGGAAAATGCGTTCAGAGATGAGCAGATGAGTAGAACGTATTTTAAAATGTTTACAAATATAGAAGTAGAGTATGCCTCTATCTTAAGCATTTCTAATATGCCCATCATTGTATTACCAGGTGGCAATGTTGTAATTAAAATTGGTAAATCACCAACAATAAACCATTAAACTCTTTTGGCTCATATCAAGTGTTCTCTCAGTTTAATCTGATACATCCGCTATTAGGCCCTTTATGTTCTAAGCTGATAGACTCTCTCAGCTAGAACACCTACATCTCCAAATTTATATTTTTAGATTTGCTTTTGATGCTGAGTCTGATGGAAAATATGATGAGCTCTGCAAGATGACAGAGTCTCCTGGGAGGTGCTGACTCCATCAACATCCATAGAAGTAAAGTACTTCTCAAATTCAGATGATAGCTGCACTTTCCTGCTTGCTGAGCCATTGTAGGGCTGGGAATACTGCAAAGGTCATACACCTATTACAGGAGAAGGGTAGTCTTGTGCCCACTAGCCAAACAGGAACTACAAAAGCTTTTTCTTCTTCTAGATGCTAACTGTGCTACATAAATGTATGTTGTTTTCCAGTAAAATATTCTGGTACTTTCTATATGAATATGGGGCAGGATTATCTTTTCCTATGTGTTTAGATAGTGTCTTGGATATTGCCACAATTCAAGTCATTATATGTGTTCATTATTATTTGTAGAGTTAGATAAATAATGATAATTGAGCTTTTAATAAAATAGCTTGTATCTCTGCATAGCCTCAGTATCAAAGGATTATCTTTGGAATAGCCTTTCACTCTCCATAAAGTCAGGATATTCTAAGAAATTCATTTTAGAATCATATGCCATATCATTTCTCGAACACTTCCCTTTCAGGAAATTGTTCCCATTCTACAAGCATCCAGATCAGTTGTGGCAAGTGCATTCTCTTCATCTCCTTGAGTAAGAGTTATTAATGGGCTAAACACAATATCAACATCTTCAAAATCTGTTGCCAAAGTCTTGCAGCCACAACTTGTACAAAATTTTGCAGAGTTAAATACTATGTCTCATCGTCTTCTGAAAAATGTAAACATACCAAAGCAGCCTCTCTATAAAAATCAGGTATGGGAGCATTAGTTCAATTGCTAATTATTTAGGACCTATTCTGACGTTCTTTACATGCAATGTATTTCAGGTTTTCAAACTACTTTCAATTAAAAGTTCTGTTCCACAGCTCATTCAAGCTACTGTGTGCAAAACTGGAATCTTTACCATCTTGATCTCATTTTTTCCCCTATGAATACTTTCACCTCTATTACATAGTAATTCATACGGGTACAAATCCTGAAGCCGTTGGTTAACTCATTCAGTTAACATGCTCACTGGGCCAAAACAGTAGGCATTTTGCCTGAATAAGGACTGTATACAAACAGATGCTCTGATTGCACCCAATATCTGTGAGTGGTGAGGACCCTGTGTACGTGGTTCTCCTCCTTCCACATGGAAAGAGAGCTTAGCCAGCTCTGCAGCAGCATTAACTCTCCTCCTCCACCACTACTTTCTCCTATAACCCACAGGCGGCCTGCTGAGTCAGAAGAATAGGCAGGCTGGTAGAAGGGCTGTGGTGGATGCTTGTGATTCCTATATGTTCTGGTGACCCACACAGATGACAAAATGAATGTAAATATACACATTTTAGAAGTGGACATGGATATAGGGAACTGCTCTTAAAATATTATCCTGTTGAGCAGCATTGATATTTTGGCAGCAAAAAAAAAACTGTTTTAAAAAATGATTTTTCCTTCAGGGTAGAACATTTTCCCTGTTTGATGTGATCTCCTATCCAGCAAAGACTGCTCTCACCAGCATAATGTGTGCTTCCTACGCAGCACTAATTTATGTGGTAAGTATAAACTTCTTAGTTTTGCAACTGATTCTGCCACCCTTACCCACAGTGCGTAGTGCCTTACTCCATATGTGAAACCAATAGGACTATGTGCAGCATGAAATACTACTCAATGGGTAAAGGGGACAGAATCAGGCATTTTTTGATCAATTCAGTTTCTTAGGGCTTGTCTATACTTACGCGCTGGTTCGGCGGCAGGCAATCGAACTTCTGGGTTTGATTTATTGCGTCTTGTCTGGACGCGATAAATCGAACCCAGAAGTGCTCGCCGTCAACTCCGGTAATCCTGCTCGGCGCGAGGAGTACGCGGAGTCGAGGGGGGAGCCTGCCTGCCGCGTCTGGACTGCGGTAAGTTCGAACTAAGGTACGTCGACTTCAGCTACGTTATTCACGTAGCTGAAGTTGCGTACCTTAGTTCGAATTGGGGGGTTAGTGTAGACCAGGCCTTAGTATTCATGCTATAGTAACGTAGCCATCAGAATAAGGTTTAAATGTTGTCATCAACAATGAGCATTTCAGTTTTCCCTCTGTTCTTTTCATACAGGTAGCTGCATGACAGGCGGAATGAAATGGTTATTTATTTTACTCAAGTTGCATTTGGGTGTATCATATACATGTTTAGGCAGCCTTGCAAACTTGGTCACAAACCAAGGCATAAAAATCTACTCCCCTGTTCTCTGCTATGTTGATTGATAATGGAAAAACTAATGATATTTACTCACTTATAAAAAAATAAAAAGAACCCATAAAACCACCAACTACTTACCCTGGATAAATGGGATGCTATTATTTTTCAATGCTGCATTAAATTGTGTGTCATGAATTTGTGGCTAATGATTTGCTGATTCTTTACTCAGGATTATTTGCCCCTCTGACCCATCCCCTCTAGCCTGTCTCATAGACTTTAAGGTCGGAAGGGTCCATTATGATCATCTAGTCTGACCTCCGGCACATCACAGGCTACAGAACCTCACTCACGCACTCCTGTTTCAACCTCTGACTGAGTTACTAAGTTACTCAAATTTTCATGTAAAGACTTAAAATTACACAGAACCATCATTTACTCTAGTTAAAATCAGCAAATGACCCATGTTCCATGCTGCAGAGGAAGGTGAAACCCCCCCAGAGTCTCTGTCACATTTCCCAACCCAAACATTGCAATCAGTTAGACCCTGAGTATATGGGCAAGACCCACCAGCCCGGCATCTGGGAAAGAATTTAATGCATAACTCCTAGTCCTTCCCATTTAGTGTCTCATCTCCGGCCATTGGAGATATTTGGTAATACCAGTCACGGATGGACATATGGCATGGTATACAATCTCATCATACCATCCCCTCCATAAATTTATCAAACTCAGTCTTGAAGCAAGTTAGGTATTTTGCCACCACTACTCCCCTTGGACGGCTGTTCCAGAACTTCACTCCTCTCATGGTTAGAAACCTTCGTCTAATTTCAAGCCTAAACTTGCTATGGCCTTGTTCTTGTGCCCATGTTACCCTTAAATAACTTCTCCCTCTCTGGTGTTTATCCCTCTGATATATTTATAGAGAGCCCTCAGCCTCTGTTTTTTCAGGCTAAACAAACAAAGCTCCTTAAGTTTCCTCTCATAAGGTTGGTTCTCCATTTCCATCTTAGTGGAGTCCTTCTCTGCACCTGTTCCAGTTTGAATTCATTGTTCTTAAACATGGGAGACCAGAACTGCACACAGTATTCCAGATGAGGTCTCACCAGTGCCTTGTATAATGGCAATAACACTTCCCTACCTCTACTGCAAATACCTCGCCTGATGCATCCTATGATTGTATTAGCCTTTTTCACAGCCACATCACATTGGCAGCTCATAGTCATCCTGTGATTGACCAATACAACCACGTCTTTCTCCTGCTGTTTCTTCTAACTGATAAGTCCCCAATTTATAATAAAAGTTCTTCTTGTTAGTTTGCAAGTGCATGAACTGCTTCTTCCCCACCCAACTCCTCCCAATCCTATTCTCTTTCCCTAACCAGTCCCAGTCTCCACTCCATAGACTTCTCATCCCATTATTCTTACCCACCCAGTCCTACTCACCACTTCCAGGCTCCCCATTCAAGTCCCTCTCCTCAACTACTTGCCCAATCAATCCCAGCTCCCCACAACCACCCTGACTCCTGTCTCCCATCTCCTCACTCAAACAGTCTCAGCTCCTTGCCTCCTCCTCTGATCTGTCTTCCCCCCATTTTCTCCTAGACCCACTGTGCCTTCCTGGGTTCTTCATCCAATCTCAGTTCTCCATGTTCATTGAGGATTGAATCTTGGTGATTTTAGCAGCTAAACGCTTTGTCATCTCTACTAAGCATGGGTGAATGGAGATTTTCCAAGGTTTATAACTTGACCATATGTGATAGATTTGATAGATACATCCCTGACACAAAGCCAACGCCTGCCAAATATAAAGTCCCTGCTCCAAAGCCTGGGGGCTCTAGAGCTTCTCAAAGAAAAAGTGACCAGAATTTTATTAAATGGCAAAACATTTTCCCCTACTCTAATTCTCAGAAATGGCTGAACTGTTTTGGATTAAATTTAGAAACAAAAAAAACCCAGACACCTGGCATGGAGAACACCAGCCCTAACAATTAAAGTTTGGCAAAGATAAAAGCAGCTGAAAACAGGGTCTTATAATAGCACGTTTCAGGCTATTGACACCACCCACCTGTATCCACTTAATATATTTTTCCCCTATATGGCCTTCATCTGTTTGTGTCTTGAGATTGTTAACCCTTCAGGGCATGGATTACCTCTTTTCTAGGTATGTATAGCATCTAACACAATGGGGACCCAATCCCAATTGGGGACTTCGGGTACTACCAGATTATAAATATTTTCTAATAACTAACGAACTTTTTTTTAAATTAACCCACTCCAGGCATCCTAAGATATCCAGAATGATGGTTATTTGCACACTGTAGGGAGCAGAGGCACTATTCTACTTCACATAAAACCTGATTTGTGTGAAGTGCTGAGTGCTAACACCCACTTCCAGCAATGGGATCTAAGGGCATCCAGCTCTTTGCAAGAGACATTCAGCATGTTACAGCCTAGGTCCATACTTGACTCATTACAGGCTCCATCCTATCCTGCAAGGTACTGAGTGCTCTCATTCTCATTTAATTCTATGAGACTCAAGGTAGCTTGGGAACTGGCAGGATTGGGTTTGCACATCCAAATATGTTGCTAGATGTTCCATTCCAGGACCTGTTCAGCTTCTTATTGCTTAATTACAATCAATTGCCTATATGTTTAGAAGCCTGAAAAATAAAAAGCTGGTATCAGAAAGATGAAGTATTTTTTGTCTAGTAGAAGTTTCATAATAATGTATCTTTTAGTATTTTTCCAGCTCTTGTGGCTACAATCTCCTTTGTATTTTCTAGTGTCATGTACTATAGTTATCTGTCAGCAATATTATCTTAAATCAGGGAATAAAACATTAAAAGTCTTATTTTGTGACAAATGTACAAAGTTGGAATATTTTCGAGTTACATGCATACTGCTCAACCTTTGTGTCCATTTATTCTTTTGCACAGAGACTGGTTTGGCCAATGTACATGGCAGAGGGGCATTGCCAGCACATGGCATATATCACATTAGTAGATGTGCAGCTGAACGAGCCCCTGGTGTTGCTGATATGGTTAGGTCCTATGATGGTGTCCCTTGAATAGGTATGCGGACAGTTGGCAACGGGGTTTGTTGCAGGGATTGGTTCCTGGGGTAGTGTTTCTGTTGTGTGGGGGTAGTTGCTGGTGAGTATTTGCTTTAGATCGGGGGGCTGTCTGTAAGCGAGGACTGGCCTGTCTCCCAAGGTTTGTGAGAGTGAGGGATCGTCCTCCAGGATAGGTTGTAGATCCTTGATGATGCGGTGGACAGGTTTTAGTTGTTGTAAGTATTTACAGTAATACATTCTATAGGAGAAATGTGTAATAGTAATAACTGTTTAAATGTTTGATAGACATAATGGCATTGACCCTACTAGTAAATTCATTTAGCTACAACTGTATAAAGTGTGCGGCTACTGTGGTGATGTATAAAAGCTTGATCCTATGAAGTGCTAAACATAGTAGCCCTGATCCAAAAAGCACCTAAGCCTCTGCATAATTTTAAGCATATATGTAGTCTTACTGAATTTGCTGGGACTATTCATATGCTTAACTGTATTGGATTGTGGCCAGAGTGGTCAGCACCTCAAAGCACTGAGGCCTTTATTACTAAGATACTAGTATGTATTATAAAACTTCAAAATAAAGGGTACTTATTATTTATTTCAAATATACAACTCCACATTATGGTTTTCTTCAACTAAACTATATATCTTTATTGTATGTAGGCAGTCTCTATTAACACAGTACTAGGGAAAATAAAACACATTGTGCAAGATGAAAAGACCTCAAGAGAAAACGCTAAGAATGAGGAAGGAAAAGATGTATTCTCCAAATATGAAGATTTAGCAAGTTTCCCTGTATCCTCTCCAGAGAAGCAAGTCTTTTCTGAATTTCCTGCTGAAGATTCAACTAAGAGCAGCATTCACATCCTACATTCTGCACTGGATCAAGATACAGTACTTAGTAGTGGTAACTGAAGCTCAAACATGCTTGTGAGCTTTTTGTTAGTGCATTGAATGTTTAAACAAAAACACTTAACATATACAGAATTTACATTCTCTATTTGTTAATAAAATAATAATTAGTACAAATAGTTTAATGTCTTCAGAGTTCCTTGACTAGTGAAAGAAAAAAAAATCTAGGTATGTGTCACTCAGAACAGTTGTGGCTGAGGGCCTTACTATGAATGTTTTTAGTGCCATGTTCTATAGCATTTAAATTTCTTCGTGACACAAAGTGTTGTGTAAATTTCACTGATTATGCAAGTAAAAGCATGGGATTTTTTTAAAGTCTGGAGTCTAGTGTGTTCCTTTTATACCAAATTCCACAATTCTGGCCAATGTCTAATTGCAGTTTTTAGCAGACAGACACTGACTGTCAAGGATTAATGTGTATTTTGTCTCCTTTACAGTGGTTCAACTTGCCAAGGATGTTTCTCTCATTTTTTCCCTTTATCCAGACTTTTCTCATCTCCTGTCTTGATTCATTGGAGCAGGATGTTTGACTTCACAAAATGTTACAAAGTTTAAAAATAACCATATTCAATCATGTCAGAAATATGAAAAAATAGATTCTCTTTGGGCTCTACCCAAAGCATTAACAGAATACTCTCCTGTGTCCCATTGTTGCTAAGTTCTGAAGAGGCCATGCAATCTCTTATGCTTCATTTTTAAATCTCTTTAAAACTTCAAAAGCCAAATTTTAATGAAGTGAGGCCCCAGGTCCACAAGCACCATCTTAATCTAGCATTTAAACACACCCCATTACTCCTTAGTCCATGCAAATACATGATGTACACATACAGCTCTACTTATGTATAAACAGAGATCTGCCCATCTGTGATGGGTTACATCCCCACTCCAGGGTACCACCTGATATACTGGGGTACCCGCCTGTTCCCCCTTACACTGTCCAGCTGAGCCAGGCCCTCAAGCCTCTGTCAGCACACACACAGGTAGGGACACAACCAGCTTCAGAAAGACACAGACATTGAAATCAGCTCTGCATGGGAAGGCTTCAGCTAAGGAAATGCCCAGCACTCAAGTGTACATCCCCTCTGGAGTGTAAACCCAAAATTGTATTGTCCTGTGCTGCACAGAGAATTGTCCAGCAGCGTAAGCTCATGAAATTCGCTTCCTTCCTCAATATGGAGGAAGATATGCACAGCTTTTGTCCCCTCCAGTTATGAATTCCACAAACTGGTTTCAGAGAAAACAAAAACAAGTTTATTAACTATAAAGGATATAATCACTTAAAATCTAAGGGATTGCAAACAGATCAAAGCAGATTACCCAGCAAATAAAACAAAAATGCAATATAAGCTTAAGATACCAAAAACCTGGTTCAAGTAGTAGGTTCTCACCCTAAACATTGTTTTGGGCAGATTGCAGAGGTTCTTGAAGGCAAGCTGCTCTTGCTTGCAGCTTGAAACTCCAGGCACTTCTTTCACAGGCCAGACACCTTCACAGACTGGGCTCAGTCCTTCCCCCTCCTCCCGCCCCCACACACACTTTGGGTCTTTGTTTTTTAGATGTTTCCTGCAGTCATCCTGAGCAGAGATTCAGTGAAGAATGAACGCTGATTAAGTCACTCCCCAGCCTTAAATAGGTTTTACATATGGCATGAATCCTTTGTTTTCCAGTGTGGTTCCCACCACCACCATCCTCAGTGGAAAAATACTGGTATTCTATCATGGAGTCCAGTACCAGGTGACAATCACATGACATGCAGTGTCAAAGCAGCCATGAGTCAGAGGTTGTTTGTAGTATCCCAGGAAAGCTTCTCAGGAAGGTGGGAGATTAGTATCTTCAAAGACCTATTGTTCTCCCTAATGGTCCACTGACTGGTCCCCAGCTAGTCAGCCAGACTGGTTGCATTCTGTCTGGTGGGCATTCCCCAGGTGCAAACACTTTTGTAATACAGATGTATAGTCAATATTCCTAACTTTAGATACAAAAATGATACATGCATATGTATAATCAGGATAATCAAATAGGATAATCAGATTCAGTAAATTGTAACCTTTCCAACGATATCTCACATGCCTTATCTTGCAATAAACATAGTTATGCTATAATCATATTATAACAATATTTCTATGAAGAATATGGGGTGTAGTGTCACACCATCCTTCACCAGATTCAACTATACCACTAAAACAAAGATGGTGCTCTGATTAGATCAGCACCTGGATGAAGAATAGTTGGTTGAAGCAGAAGCTGAGCAAGACAAAGAATATGTTGGTGGGCAGAGAAAAGCACTATGAAGAATTTACAGAAACAGTGCAAATACCTTCCTTTGACTGAAGGTATACGTTCCTAATTGGTGAAGTCAATCTGTAGTTTACGAATGTTCCTGGATTTCTCAATGATGCTAAGCTTTTGCATAACACAAAACGTGAGTAATGCTTTCTACTTGATCCAGTTGGCTATGAGATTCTGTACCATCCTGGCAGACAGACAATGACCTGCCCTCAGTTATTCACACCTTCACCAGCTCCTATCTGGACCACCATAATGCAATATACCTGGGCCTGAAGCCTTCAATGCCTAGGAAACTCCAACTAGTACCAAACTTTGCAACACATCTCAATAACACTGACTACCATAAACACATCAGCCCTGTGCTCCACTCTCTACACTAGCTTCACCCAGAATATTGACTCAAGTTCAAGGTCTTGGTCTTATCTTGAATGGCCTGACCCCAGAGTATCTGAAAAATCACCTAAAGCTCTGGGCTAAGCACTGTGCTGGACAACTCTGAACCTCAAGCACAATGGGACTTTCTACCATATGAGCAAAGCTCATCTGTCCAAGAGGCACAGCTTTCTCTGGGACTAGTCAGACTGTGGAATGAACTGCCCCAGTGCCTCTATCACAAACTTCGCCACTTTCTGCTCCAAGTACTGGGCACACACTTTTTTGAACTGCCTTGTCCAAGATACCTTCTGATAAGTGTTTACATTTTTTAAATAACCCAAAAACAAAATCCTACACTGCACATCCAATTTTCCTCCAGAGGAAAGGATGACAGAGAACTCACATCTGATAGATGTTTGTCATGTTGGTTAATTGACTATTGGAATGTGCTCAGACATTACCACGATGAAGGAGATACAAGTACTTATTTAGAACAGAACTGGGGTAATTGCACACACAAAAGTAACCATGCAAAAGCACATTACAACACACAAGTGCTTTGTACCTCACTTTATGAAACTCTGGTCCTATGTGTTAAGATAAAATAAAAGGTTTTTCTCCTGACCTGCAAATAACATAACATTAAAAAAAAAAGTCTCCCAATTACATTGAAATGACTATAGTTCTAAACTATTTAATGTCTTAAAAAAAATTCTATCCTTCAATGGATATTTACCATAACATTTCAAGATGTTTTTATAAATTAATTAAATGCATTATAATATTCCTCCTCCTAAAGGTTAAAAGATTTTAACTCTAGCCACAGAAGATTTAACACTTCAAATATTACAGACTTGACTAATGTACAGATATTAAACTTGTATTTTATTAAAGGCAAATATAAAACTGCACTGGCACAAAGCTAATTCATTATAGAGAGGGTCTTGACCTTTGTTTATGATCTTACTCATTTCTACATTACTTAATGCTTTAATAACAATAAGATTAATCTAGAAAAAATCTGCATATCATTCTGTGATACTGATAATGCCTTGTACACAGACACTGGTATTTTGCATTATGGCCACTGATTTTTAAGTTCAGGATGTGCATTATTTTTTCATATCAGAACTTCCAGTCTTTTTGTACTTATCAGCATAGTAATCAGAGTCACAGCTGATAGATAAGTCCGAAGGAGTCACATAAACGCTTCCATTGTCTACAGTAACCTTGTGAGTTCTTTGCTTTATTCCTTTTGATCGCCATTTTGGTGTTGCCGATGGTTCTGTAGGGTTTATTGCTTGATATAAGCCTTCTCCTGTTGCCAAAGTAATTTTATACTTGTGCCAAGGGCAAATAATGCAGGGCTGTCCATTGATATCCTGGGGAAAAAATTAAGACAACCCACTGAAATCTTACTCTTCCCTATGAAATATCTCTAGACCAGGAGTCGGCAACGTTCGGCACGCGGCTCGCCAGGGTAAGCACCCTAGCGGGCCGGGCCAGTTTATTTACCTGCTGACGCGGCAGGTTCGGCCGATCGTGGCCCCCACTGGCCGCGGTTCGCCATCCCGCGCCAATGGGGGGCGGCGGGAAGCCGCGGCCAGCACATCCCTCGGCCTGCGCTGCTTCCCGCCGCCCCCATTGGACCGGGACAGCGAACTGCGGCGAGTGGGGGCCGCGATCGGCCGCACCTGCCGTGTCAGCAAGTAAATAAACTCGCCCGGCCCGCTAGAGTGCTTACCCTGGCGAGCCACATGCCGAACGTTGCCGACCCCTGCTCTAGACCAACACATAGCTTTGTGGCCTAGTTGCAATGCCCTGTACTGCCGTGGCAGGAACACTGGGTTCTGTTTTTAAAAATAGCGACTGGAATACCAAATCAGATTACTGATCCAGCTAGCGTAGCCTGTTTCCAACAGTGGCCAATGTCAGAAGATTCAGAGTAAAACCCATAATGCCCCTAACTGGCAACACTCTATCATAATGGGATGTGTGTGTTTAGATGACAGGGATTCTTTCTGACTCCAGATAATAAAGATAATATCCATTTTTATTTTCAACAGTGTGACTGGAGATGTTTTTACTTACTCACATTTTGACAGACACCACATCTATCTATGATGTGGAAACACAAAGCATGCTGTCAGTGTTTTATAAAGTAAGTGTGTCCAGTAAGTGCCAAATAATAATAAATGATATTAAACTATTTGTTTCAAAAGTACCTAAACTTGGCCTCCTGTCCCTCAAGCCACCAGGGAGTTGGGGGCATTGTGGAAATTGAAAAATTAAGGACTGTTAAAGATAGTGGTCCATTATAGAGAGAAAGGGCCAAATTTTGCTTTCAGCTACAGCAGTTTAAATCCAAGGTAACCCCATTGATTTCAGTAGAGTTACTGCAGTGTTACTAAGAACATTATTTATCCCAAAGTGAGAAAATAATATACAATTGGGATTAAAATGTAAAAAGATTTTGAATAATTGTGTGTTATTTTTAGAATGTTTATATACCTCTATCTCTCCAAGATGTAAAGGACCTCCTGCATCTGAAACATAGTGGAATATGGAATTAGAGTCAAAACTCACACTAGCTTACTTTAAAAGTTGTACATACACACCAAGATGATAAGTGCA